TCCTGCATGTCCGGGGCTCTTGGTCGTTGTGCGTTTTCGTGCGGTCGTTGCTGTCAGGCTGCGTTTGTTTTTGGTGCTTGTGTGCAGGCAGGATCTACTCTTCTGAAGAACTTTGGCGACGAGCTTCCCGATCTTGACGAACGCTTCTTGAATGGACGCATCAACAACAAAGAAGATCGTCCGTTCTTGGAGAGGGAGACAGTTGTGGACAAGGTTTTAGCTGAGCTGAACTACACGACCGGGTCACAAGGGTTGAATAAGCCTAGGCTCGTTGCTCTTTGGAGCCCTAGGGGCACGGGCAAGACATCGCTAGTTCGACAACTCGCACAAAGCAAGCAGTATGCTGACAGCCGCAGATATGGACGGCTGCTGGTGTTCGATGCACTGATTCTACAGCAATACTTGAGCACGGATGCTGACATGCTGGTGTCGGCCATCATCATTTGGCATCTTCTGCAGTTCTTCCACGACTACACTGTGGAATTTGCGCCGGGGCAAAACGTCGTTTTTGAGCGCAGGGACTTTGGTCCTGTGTTGCAGCTTCTGAAACAGAGCCACTCGACTCCAACCCCATCAGGTGACAGTGTTCTGTCGTGGATGGCGTCCTGCTGTAAAAGCAGGGACGATGTGCTTGACCAGTGGCTCTCAATTACCGAACAAGCATTAGCGGCGCCAAAAGACTGCCCTCGTCTTTTATTCTTGGATCAGGCAGAACTCCTTGCGAGCGCAAGCAGGGGGCAGAGCAGCAAGGGAGGAACCAAGTCAAGCCTTACGGACATTTGTTCAAGGCTTCCCCAGCAGATGGCCTGCTTCTGTACAGGCACACTGAACTTGATAAAGGGTCGCCCGGCAATCGAGTACACAACGCTTGTCGTCTGTGAATTAGCAGCGCTTGCACCACTGTCTCGAGACGCTGCTGTCTTGGCCATGAAGCAATGGAACGGGACGCAGTATGACGAGAATGTGTTCAACCAGATTGTGTTTTTCTCGGGTGGAGTTCCTCGACTGTTGCGGCATGCTTTCGAGACGAGCGGAATCTTCAAGTCAAAAGCAGCTACTGCGTTTAATGCCATGTCGAAGTGCTTCAAGGAGTCGTATGGGTCTGCCGGACCTTGTTTTTCTCACCCAGCAGTTGCTTTATCACTGGTTCTTTGCTCGGCCGTTCGGTGGCCGACAGCAGATACCGATCTTTATAGTACTGTGCCTGGAACATCTACAGCATGGTCGGATATTTTCAACGCAGGAGCGGCATTTCCAGCGAACAACTCTGTACAGGTTCCACGGGTTTGGTGGTGTTTTGACCAAGCGGTCCGCCAGCAGCTTAAGGGTGAGTTGAAGGCCTTGAACATCCGTCTGGATCGTCTCCTGCCAGACTCATTGCAGCTGGTTGCGTCAAACAATCGGGGGAACGTTGCGAGGGGAAAGCCGTGGGAAGAGCTGGTTGCACATTCCCTAGCGGCACGGTTCCACCTTTATTGCATGCAACGCAACTGGACCGCCAACAACACCTGGGCTCCCTTCCTGGAGATCTATCCGACAGACAACGCACATTTGAAAATGGTCTTGGAACCATTTGAGGTTTGCTGGAAGGATGGGGTATCGTACCCACAGAGTGAAGCCAGTGTCTCAGACGCTGCTGGACATGCTATTATGTGCAATGTTCCGTTTCGGAATGCTCACCATGACTTGTTGATTCCCGTGAAGCGGGTGAAGTGTGGCACGTGTGAGTACATTGCAGCCCAGTGTCGGTATGGAGCCAAGAAAACTGCAAAGGACCTGAACGACACAAGCCAAGACAAGGCTAGAAAGCCGAAGAAGAACGAAGCCCGAGATACCCTTCCGGACATGCCAAACGTGCTTCTCCAAATATGTCCCGAGA